TAAGAAAAACGCTTTTGTGATTCCACACTTAAAGATAGTTGTAAGCATTGATAAAACAGCGTGTGAACTGGTTAACCTTGTTAGCTATGTTACATATACTGACATAATCTTCAATGACGTGCATTTGAAAAAGAAATCACAAATTTTTAGCTCTCACCAAAAGAAGCCTCTGTTACGTTACTGCGGCGACTATATGTTTACTTGACCACAACTAAACACCTCTCCAATACCCACCCCACCACCACCTCATCCACACACACAAAACACCTCTGTGTCCTTACAAACAAAACCCCACACAGACATCTTGTCCTGTGAGCTGATCTTGTCTGAAGATCTTCGTGTAATTTGTATTCCAGCTAGCAGCGTAACTTACTCTGGACAATATAACTTTCAGCCTCCTCCCCCACCCCCTCACACATTGATTTCCCCACCCCCTCACACACTGACCCCCCCCCCCCTCCGTACCCTGCTTGCCCTCAGTGTCGGGGCTACATCGTATTTGGTTCCATCTTCGAGCGGAGACGGCGTGTATTGTTGACCAATGGTCAGTTTCAAATCACGTGACAAGTCTGATCCAGCCGGTGAAGATTTGATGTACATGGAATAATGGCCATGTGGGGTGGGAGGTGGGGGAGGAACAGAGTGGGAGTAAATTGTGGTACAAAATTAGGAGGGGGTGGGAGGTAAAAGTACAGCGGGAGGGGAGAACTAGTCAAACATAACTAGGACTCAGAGATTGTGGTGCTATGTCCGGAGGTTGTAGGTAGTATTTATTAATATACTTGGAGACCAGACAATACTAGACATATGTATTGTGAAAGTGTACTTTGTTGGTGTTGAACTTCTTATTATTGCTTGGATGTGTGCTGTTTGATGAATCTGCTGGACTGTGTTCGATCTGCCTGTTGTACGGTTTGATGAGTTTGTTAGCTTGAATGTCTGTGTCAAATTTGCCTGACTTGCTGCTTGACACTAACAAACATGTATTCTTTAAGAAAATACAATTATACATTTTCTTGCCAACGTTGGTTATTTCTATTAGGAAGGCTACCACTCCATGTAACACAAATCTACTTGTGATATAAAGCTGCCCATGTCGTGCTGCCAAGGTCATGTTTCCTGATCAAACTGCCCAGGTCAATCTGTCCAGGTCAAGCTGCCCAGGTCAAGCTGCCCAGGTCATGACGCCCCCAACAACTCTACCAAGTCCACCTTTGATTAAATTCACATCATCAAATCTACTTGACTGACAGCGTCTAAAGAAATCGCTTGTACAAAAAATAAGTCATGCCTATATTTAAACTTCTGGAAACAACAGTGGAATCTATTTATAGCAAGTGGCGCCCTCAGGATATTTGAACCCTATTCTGATTACTTTAATCTCCCCATCATGCCTGATGTCCTTGCACCTGCCTCACGACGTGTATCACTTACCTGTTTAATAGGTTTTGTTAAAGTGCTGTAACGAGAAACATTTCCTGTTACGTCATCATTCAAAAACGGTGATTACTTTTTTTCCGAAACAAAAATGCAGAAATTAAATAATATTGAATGGCCAAGGTTAAATAAAAACCTCCTGGGGTAAATTTGGTGTATAATGGGATTATATAGCAAATATTTTGATCAGTGTTGGGCTAGATTTGATTTAAAGTTTATATTTTTTATACTAGTGGTTTTATTTTTACGTGAGATTAAATTTATTGATAAGAATACGGTATTAGTGAGGGCGCTCTTCGTGGATCTTTGAGAAGTGTAGACGCAAGTCTTTAATGTGAAACAAATAGTTTGATTCTCCGCTTCCTCCCAATGATAAAGTCAATACCACACGTTTTTTTCTCCCTCAACCACCACCATTTAGGGGGGGGGGGGTGACACCAAGGCAACAAAGAGCAAAATATTTAGAGAAAAACTTGAGGGGGGGTGCAAATCGAAAACTTGAGGGGGGGGTGCAAATCGAAAGTTTGAGGGGGGGGGGGGGGGTTGCAAATCGAAAACTTGAGGGGGGGGAGTGCAGATCGAAAATTTGAAACTTTGTCCCCGGGAAGGGTCGCTACGCCTCTAAGGGGTGACACCATTAAGTGCCGCACCGGGTGACACCCGACCTCGCTACGCCACTGACACGCCTATCTTTTAAGTGCCGCTCACAACACACCCGCTGTCACTCGACAAGTCGCTTCCCTTGTCACCCTCGTTCATTCCCTACAACAACATACATGTTAACACACCCAGGCTTGACACTATCTTACCATACAATAGTATACACACACCATACACAAACAACATACACACACACACATAGTTTACAGTACTGTGCTCCACATACACACCTTCCAAACAATTTCACATAGTATTCGCTAGAGCTGTCTTTCTGATGTACTATTTACCTCGAGAGTAAGTAAACAGACTGGATTTAGTTAAATTTTTCAGTTTTTATAGTTGTGATTTGATAAGGTTTGTTGGATTTGGCTAGCAAATGAACGTTAAAATTAGTAAGCGATAAAATTTTTGTGATTTAAAAACAAGTGTCTAAATGAATTTCCACGACGTAAGCGAATCTATGATTTAAAGCATCGATACAGTCTATTTGTTTAGAAGTATTTATTCGATATCCTTGAGCATACATCAAGTCTTCAATCATTACTGTCTAGTAGTTTTGTTACCAGAAGCTTAACCCGAGGTGAAATGATGGTTATTCTATACCACGTTAGGTTTAGTGATGTTAGGACGTGAGAACACAGCTGATGCAATCACAACTGACGGATTAAGATAAAGAGCGATAACCCAGATAATCCCGGATTATCATTAACAGATAAAGAGTTTAATCTCCCCACCTGAACGCTAATCCCAGATGGGAAAATTGAAACAGTCGACTTAATCTTCGAATATCAATACCAATTTGTAAACATAGAGTAACACTGACAGACTGATTCTCAAACAATATTTTGAATACAATAAACGCAATACTACAACAGGGTGTTATTTTATTTTTTGTCAGTAACGTTTTAGAAGATCAGAAAAGAAAACACTAAATCATTCATAGCTAGACACTTGTTTTGATAGTTATCGCTCTCTATTAAAAGAACATGGAGCGCCAAAACTAGACATTCGATCTATTTTGAATAAAGTTAACAAATAATTAACGAAAAAAAATACATAAATGCTGTCCAATCGAGAGAGTTGATTGTATATCGATTAGATGTAGAGGAATTTGTTGTCAGCACTTTGCCCAGCCGACTTTACTTTCCCTAACGAGTTGGGTAGTCATCAGAGCTGTAGTTCTGATTTGGACCTGGATTTGAACTCAAGCCTTTCGGGTTTGTAGCCTAGCGTTCTACCGCTTTTGCCACATCGTCCCATGTTGAAAAATAAGATTTAAAACAATGCAAACTTAATGCAATACGATACACGATTAGCATTTACATAAATCGTCCTGATATTTAAATGAATTTTGATTGACATTAAACAAGAACCAGGAGCGAGCTTTAACCTTCTAGAACTGAATTTGATAGTTTGAGTTTATTTCATGTTGATATTTGATGTTTACTGTTGCAAATGCCGGCATGTTACCTTCTCCCACCCCCACCCCCAACAACTACCATACCCGACATTCACAACATTCATGACATATACAAGTACACAATCTTCAAGTCTGACTGTTTTAAATTTCAGGTGACATTTCACACAACTGTACTTTCAATGTTTAACCTTTCTAAAGTTGAAAATTTGAAATTTATATGTTTTGTGTAGTGTCCGCCGTGTTAGCAATTATTTTCTGATGCCCGTTGATTTTTGTTTAACTCCCTAATGTAAAATTTGGTTTCAACATTTCGACGCTGATATCAACGAGGAAATAATTCCTCAAATGTTGAGTGCATGCAAGGCATGCTAAATTTACAACGGACGTGTCCATCATTATTTGCAATGTAGGAAATATGTGAGACATGGGCTTAATGAAAAGAAACATAATGACATTTTGACAAATGTGACATGTGACATGTATGACACAATGTAAATGACAACCTGGCAGAAGTAGGTGACAGTTTGATCAGTTTTAGGTCAAACTGTGTCAGACCCTGGAAATTGTGAACTCTTCAATCTTTACGAATAATGTAAAAACTAATTTTTAGAAAACTAGATTTAATGACTGTGCTTATCGCTAGAGGCAAAGTCGGAGTTCTATTTTAAAAGTCCTGATAAACTATAATGTACCAAATTAAAACTCCAGATTTTGAAAACTTTAATTTACCTATTTAAAAGAAAAGTTTATTTTAACAACAAATATATTTCGAAATTCCAGTAATAAATATAACTACTCTAAACATACAGTCCCACGTACTCTAACACATTTGAAAAAACATACACAGGGGGAGTTATTCAACATCACGTGCCATGGCCAGTGTATAAACCCGACTAGAATGTTCCAGACGGCGACGGACGGTCTGGTCATTTTCAGGAAACTCGGACAAAATCCGGACAAAATATATGCGCGACCACGTAATTAGCAGACTCTAGACAGACTCTAGACAGACTTTACAGTGCAGACAACGGAGTCCAGACAATGCCTTGAGAGATTAAAATAATTAGCACCCCCTGCCCCCCCCCCCCCCCCCACACCCACACCCACAATGTCTCTCACTTCACATTTCTAAAGTAAAACACTTCCTGGTCTAATATGTCTGCACTACTGGCTTTCACATCGGCTGGAACACGCACAAACAAACCAAAAGCAAGGCTCTTTGGTCTGGGAAATGCTATTTTAGTTGTCGTAAATTGTCGACAATTTTGTAGACATCTTTTTCGTTGTTGATGGCCGTGTATAGATTCATTGAGTGCGTTGTAGTGGAGGTTTACGCTAGAGATTGTTACAGTGGCTCATGTTACAGTGGCTCATGTTACAGTGGCTCATGTTACAGTGGCTCATGTTACAGTGGCTCATGTTACAGTGGCTCATGTTACAGTGGCTCAGTGGCTCATGTTACAGTGGCTCATGTTACAGTGGCTCAGTGGCTCATGTTACAGTGGCTCATGTTACAGTGGCTTATGTTACAAAGGCTCATGTTACAGTGGCTCACGTTACAGTGGCTCATGTTACAGTGGCTCACGTTACAGTGGCTCATGTTACAGTGGCTCATGTTACAGTGGCTCATGTTACAAGGGCTCATGTTACAGTGGCTCATGTTACAGTGGCTCATGTTACAGTGGCTCATGTTACAGTGGCTTATGTTACAAAGGCTCATGTTACAGTGGCTCACGTTACAGTGGCTCATGTTACAGTGGCTCACGTTACAGTGGCTCATGTTACAGTGGCTCATGTTACAGTGGCTCATGTTACAAGGGCTCATGTTACAGTGGCTCATGTTACAGTGGCTCATGCTACAGTGGCTCATGTTACAGTGGCTCATGTTACAGTGGCTCATGTTACAGTGGCTCATGTTACAGTGGCTCATGTTACAGTGGCTTATGTTACAGTGGCTAATGTTACAGTGGCTCAGTGGCTCTTGTTACAGTGGCTCATGTTACAGTGGCTAATGTTACAGTGGCTCAGTGGCTCTTGTTACAGTGGCTAATGTTACAGTGGCTCAGTGGCTCATGTTACAGTGGCTCATGTTACAGTGGCTCATGTTATAGTGGCTCATGTTATAGTGGCTCATATTACAGTGGCTCATGTTACAGTGGCTCATGTTACAGTGGCTCATGTTACAGTGGCTCATGTTACAGTGGCTCATGTTACAGTGGCTCATGTTACAGTTTATGTTAGGTGTAAAGATGTCTTTAATAAATTATTTCATTTTTTCTACTTTACTGCTAGTAATCTAACACCCGGTCTTTAAAGGTTTATTTGGTGTAGTATTGTCGGATTATGGCATTAAACTCTCTAAAAACCTTCAACCCCTTGATCCTGTAATAGCAGGGCTGCCTTACTGCATTAGCTCCGGGACATCTTACCCCGTATGCCAAGGTGTCTAGAGTGATCGACCCCTTAAGATGTTACCCACCTACCAAACTACAGTCCTTGCTGAATTTCTGATATTTCCTGTTTTAAAACCTTGGTTTATGTCGGTGATATGGGCAGTGCAAGAGACGATTTTCTGTCAATCATCCATCCAAGAAATCGGCCTTCAGACAATCGGCCTTAGGGATATCGGCCGTTATGCAGTCGGCATTTTAAGTGACTTAAAACATATATTTTTGTACAAGCTGCTTGCATTTGTAACGCATGAGAACCACTCGTTAACATACTCCTTTCTCTTGAACCTTCCATCAACCCCACACCAAGGAGAGACTACAGATCACGTGGGCTGTCTATCAACCACACCAAGGAGAGACTACAGATCACGTGGGCTGTCTATCAACCACACCAAGGAGATACTACAGATCACGTGGGCTGTCTATCAACCACACCAAGGAGAGACTACAGATCACGTGGGCTGTCTATCAACCACACCAAGGAGAGACTACAGATCACGTGGGCTGGGGCGTGTGTAGCAAGCAAGAAGCAAACACCTACGCATGAAACCTCCCCCCCCCTTCCATCTATTTAGTGTCACTTAGGGCTTTTAAAACAGCCCGCGATTGCCTTTTAGAAATAGCCCCGTCCTCAAAATGGCCACACTCAAACGCCGGGGAGGAGAGAAGAGGGGGGTATCGCAGGTCTGAAGCCGACGTCTCCAAGAAATAGGCGGGATAACTCGGCCACCAATTTTCGCATCCATATCGTGACGTTGTAAAATGTGGAGTGTATTACTTGCTTGCACCAAGGACAAAAAAAATTCCAGATAAATAAAAACGATATTTTTAGATGTATATGCTTATGCTCTCAAGTTATTTCTCAGCGTTTTTTGTAGGCTATGAAAATCTATGCGATATGTTTTTTACATTGTCGAAGATGTAAACTTGAAACAATAGTTCCATTTTCCTTATTGAGAATTTTAAATTGAAGCTTTGTACAACTATAATTATTTTAGTTTTCAATACTGTATTGCAATAGAGCTAGTATGATGTAGTTATTGTTTTCGTAAACTGAATTATTTAAAAGATACGCCCTAATACAAAGGCCGTAATTTTAAGATCAATTGTTTGCATGAATCTCTCTTGTAGTGTAATATTTTTAAAATAATTTATTAAAGGAAAGATGAGGATTAAAAATTATTTCAGAAAATTTCAATAGAATGAGCGTGGGTTAAGGTTGGGGGGGGGGGGGGGAGGGGGCGGTCGCCAATATGTTTACGTAACACTAAAAAAAAATAATGTTAGCATTTCATCCACTTCTGAGATTAATGGACGACTTTCGGCCGCTCTAAATAGATAGAGTTTTTCTTTCTGTACACAAGGAAGGAAGACATAAATTTCAGGCCTGATTTTAATAAAAGAGAGATATTGGACATCTCTATCTAATGTCTGATGGGCGGCTATCACGCTAGGGTTAGTGAGTGATTTGAAAAATATTTAAATAGTCGTTTGTTGTTGAACTTGGAATAATTTCAATTATTTGCTTGTTTTTTTTTACTGAATTTTGTATCCAATCTGGGGGGATAAAATATGGGATGTATCAAACTTGAAATGTGATTCGCTAGATTTTTGGGGGGAAATTTATGGAGTTTCGTTGGTCTGCTTTTCTCTCTATTTTTACCCCATACCCCAAAGCAGTTCTACCCACAACCCCACCCCAGGGGCAAAATGGAACAAAATATATAATTTACCATAGAAAATATATACTTCAACCAAGCCCCACACCCCCACCGGACACACCCCCAACCAAAAAATTTAATTGCACCCCTAGGAAGTTTTAATGTCAGTGCATACGCCCCTTTTAAAGTTTTCTTTTAGAGCATATCGTCAAATCAAGCCAACCAACATCTACTGGTCCTGCGTAAGAGAAATTACAGAGGAAGAGAGTTTGTGGAGAAGCTTTAATTTTAGTTCGATGTTCGAATGTCTTCTTAGTTGTTTTCTAGCTAAACCGTTATCAAAATTACATAACAAATGCTAGAAATTTAAGGTTTACTTAAGAATCTACTTTCAGGAGGGTGTATGGAGTTCACATGTTTCTATAAATTGCAGGCTAAAGAGACAGTTTTATAAAAGTTTTACACAACAAATGTTAACTGCTTCTTTTGTAACAAAAACTGGTTTCGTTCAAAATCAAATTCTCACACAGCACAAATTTACATCAATTTATTTTCTATTGAAAACATCCCTCTCCATTCTTCGCTCCCATGACTAATTCAAGTTATTGTGTGACGTAATTAAATACAGCGTCATCAGAGTAATAAGATTACCCGCCCCCTCCTAATGTCCGATCTACTAGACCCGAACCGTCTCTACTGGGGTGAGACATTGTTATTGGTCAATGACTGAAGACGAATGGAGGGGGGGGGGACCTCTCTATTCAAACCGTTTCATTCTGTTGTTTCGTTGTCCCGGTGAACTTTTTTTATCTCGGTTTTTTGTCGATGGCTCTGGTACTGTTGTACCCGCAAGTTTATTGAGTTGTGGAACTTGGTGGAACACACTGGCAGCCATGTTGGGTACCAAGAACTTACTTAGACCGGAAGTGTTTGACTTGGTGGGCGTGACTTGTGCTTGGTAAATGGATGCTCTTTAAGACTTCCGGTTGCCTGATACAGCTGGACGAGGGGCAAGCGTTGGACTAGAGCTAAAGTAAACCAGGTCTGGAACTATGTAGACAGACGGCTCGTTTAAACTACGCTAGCAGAACTATACAGAATGTCCTGAACATATGTGCTGGCCAATACAGTGGTGGAAATTTTAAGAGTCTTTAAACTAGATATACCGGCCAAGCTATCGACCAATCCGAAGGCCTGGGCAATGATGATCAGATAAGCTGGGAATCAGGGAACTTCCCTGAGTTCACGATGACAGAAATACGATCAAACCCCAGACTATATCAAAATATTTTCCTTAAAAAAATAAAAAGAATTGAACGGTTCCTCCGTTTTGGAGTTTCGTCAATGGGGGCCAAACGAGGCCCCGCGGGCATGATGAATAACCTCTGAGTGCCTGGGATGGAGCGATAAAAATATAAGGGGTGGAGTTGGGGGGGGGGGGATGAGGGGGGACATAAATATGGAGGGACTGGACTAGTATGGAGGAATTATTCAGTCACGTGATTCCCGCGTTCATGTAAACATTGAAAATCCTAAACTAAGCCTGGATATTTTGGAAAAAATGTATTTGTTAGGGAAAAAAAGGAAATTAAAGAATTTTTCAAACCTTGAGATAAAGGCTTTGTTTTGTAGCCGAATTCTAGAAAGGTAGTTTCGAAAGTAGTTTCATAAAACAAATATAAGTTAAACCTCCTTTCTATTTGTTTCCTGTTATTTCAATGAACAGCTTTAAGCAAAGTCCTATAGCTCTTCCGTGGCAAAAGAGAAGACAGCAGGGAGAAGATGGTACAATAATAGCGCAGTTATAAATTAGCATTGGCACAAATAATGTATCACTATTGGAATGTTAATTTTATTATTGGTTTTTTACTCTTTTTAAACAAAAGTACCGACTTTTTTAAACCACAGTGAAATGTATGTTTTAGTATGCTGATGAGGGTATGGGTAATTAACTTAATGTAAGTGGTTGCGACAGTGGCTAAACCTAAATCACGTAGGTGGGGGTTAAAGGGTGAGCGGTTAAACACCTAATATTAGATTTTCGGCAGTCTGAGCACGAAAACTTCGGCCATTTTTTTATTCGGCTTGAGCGAAAATCAGCGCCCCCTGGAGTGTTTGGATTACTATGTCAAGATGTGCCGTCTTTAGAAGCTCAGCGGCAAGACAAGACGTCGGGACGTCGTGCGTCAAGATGGACGTCTTTAGAAGCTCAGCGGCAAGACAAGACGTGGAGACGCTAGAGTTGACTGTGTACACTGGCTAAGTCTGGCCAAGTGGATTTTGTGGCCCATTTAAATCTGGCCATGTCCTAGCAGATCTACGTCACTCACGTGACCAATCTATTTGTAGACGTCTTTTTGTTATTAGGTGCTCTAATGAGTGTGCCCGGGTATGTAATTGTATGAACGCGTGTTTGTGTATTCATGTGCTGACGTGTACATTACAATAAAACAGTGAGCGATACACGACTTGTATTTATTCTATACAACAGTAACTGGTGTCTGAAAAATAAAATAAAAAGGGCGTTAACTACCCACTGAGCAGAGTTTCTTTCAGGCATCTCTTCCCGGGGGGTGGGGCACCGAAGAAAGTCTATCGCCCCCTTCCCCCCCCCCCCTCCCCCGAACGAAATGGAATTTATAACGAAAACATATACTTTTACCAGTTTCCGCGCCTCCTCCCCGCCCCCCCCCCCCCCCCCCCCCCCGAAAATATCAAGTCCCCCACCCCCGGAGAAAAAGTCTGGAAGAAACACTGCCACTGAGACCCCAATGGATAAAAACTTTAAACACTTAGCAGCTAGTTGTTGAACAATTTTATCTCTAGCCTGACATCTCTCAGTTACTTGATTCATTAAGCATTAACTTTTAATAAGGTAAATAACAACATAAGCCAAACTTTGAACTGAAGCCTTAATTCCAAATCTAAGTTATTTTATTGAAACAAGCTCCCGATAAAAGAGAATACAAAAACAACAACAGGAAATAAAATATGTACAATGTCAATTAGTTAACAATACAATCGTATCAGTCGTCTTAGCCTCATCAACGCTAATGATAGTTATCTTACACAGGGTGGTTGACCAACAGTTTAATGACTGTAGTAACACGACCCGACTCATCCATTTAACATGAGGTCTGGTTAGTACTCACGATGTCACGCATCATTTGGCTCAAGTTCAAGGACATCTGCAATAATAAACAAACAAAAGTAAGAATTTTGTCGCCAAAGATAACACAAAAGTAAATAGTGACGGTGGTTTGAATGGTAAATTCACCATAACTTGAACAATAATACATGCTGAATTATTCACATAATCGTTAGAATAATTATCATTAAAAAAGTTTTAAAAACCCACGTTTTCTGATTGAACTAAAAAGTAGAAAATAAATGCTATACATCACAATAATGCAAGCGATCACTCTACTATAAGCGATGAAAAACGTGGGGCACCGAAGTAAAAGGTACATTACTATTGATTAGATAATACTATTGACTTTTATTAGGGAGCTTGTAGAGAGTCAACAGTATTAGAAACTTTTTAATCTTTGTCTGTTTGTTTGCATTAAAATCTTGCTATCGATTTTATCTTTTCGCATTCACTTTTTTTTTTTGGGGTAAACGAAGACAACTCGTAAAAAACACGTGCCTTGAACCCGTGTCGAGTGGGTTAGCAATCGTGTGCCCAACCACTCGACCATATCGTCTCCCCCATACTGGCCACCAATTGTTCCGGTTGTTTGTACACAAACACCACGTGAACACTACTCAGTAAGCCAAAAGAGGGAGAGTACCGAACCTTGTTTTCAACAAATTACAATTACTGGGTTAAGTCCCCACGTTTTTTTGTAGAAATATATAGCGGTCTAAAATGATCAATAAAATGTTTCCATGGATCAATTTAGTAATAATAACAATTGAATATTGTATTGTCATCGGAAACAAAGCTTCCCTGAAAATTTCAGCGCGCTAGCTAACTGGGAAGTGCCTGAAATTTCGATCGCAAGATTTGATTGAAAAAACAGACGCGAAAGCAAGTTAAAGAAAACTTGGGAAAAATACTGGCCGAAGGGTGGGTGTGGGTGGGACGGGCTGATGCTCCCTGGGCTTTTTGTGTCTGTTGTGAGCGAATACAAGGGACCTATAAAAGTAGTGATCTATTATTTGGATCAAATTATCAATGCAGGTATATTAAAATTAATCTCTACTGTTATGCATTACTAAATATTTTTTTTTACCGATGCCTAGGTCATTATCGACACATTTTCTTCTTCTTTAGTCTACTGTTATCTTTCTTCTCCAAACTTCATTTTTGAAATAAAATGTTTCGAATAGTATCCGTAACCTAAACTTATCCATACCCTAAACCTATCCATACACCAAACCTATCCAAAACTTAAATCTATCCAAACCATAAACCTATCCATTCCCCAAATCTATCCATACGCTAAACCTATCCATACACTAATTTATCCATACCATAAACCTATCCATACCCTAAACCTACTTATACCCCTGACCCATATGTAAAGTAACGACAGATCCGCTATGGAAACTGTATATCCTATATTATCCTGGATATGCTACTGTATTATAATGGACATGCTACTGTATTATCCTGAATATGCTACTGTATTATACTGGAGAGGCTACTAAATCATCCTACCTACGAGAAAACAATTACTCCCACTAGACAACGTTTATAAAGATAAAAAAAATTAATTAAAATTACAACGAGTAGAGTACAGTACCATCAAATTAAATTTTAATGAGTAAAATCTAATTAAATGAAGTTGAACAACAGGGGGGTGGCGCCTCTATTCTCTGTATCGTTGTTTAACCGATGATAAAAAAATCACTACACCGGATAATTGGATGCTGTCTGGTAGTTTAATTGGAGGGGTGGGGGTGGTGTTTGAAGAGGGGTAAGGTTGGTATTTGAGTCTGGGTAAGGGTGGAGTTTGGTGATGGGTAAGAGTGGTATTTCAAAACGAAATTACAAGAAGAGTGACGAATATAGCGAATGTTAGTGGGGATGAAGCGGAATTGAAAGGTATAAAAGATAAAGTATGGAGTCTTACCTCGGGTTTTTGGGGTGGGGATTTGGTGGGAAGTGACGTAGTAAAGCAGCATAAATGTAAATACACACACAAACAAGCAGACACATACACAAATACATACACAAGCACACCTACGAAATTATATAAATGTATACACAAACGCACACCTACGCACGTAAGCACACATACACAAAAACTCACAAGTATTTATGTGTGTATACCTAATTCTATACATTGTTACAAATGAAAATTGAGTTCGAAACCAAATGAAATTCTAGAATTGCAAACGTCTTCAAAAATGAAAATCTGTTTAGCGATGTTTTAAAATCCGTGTGAAAAGTGTTGAGTAGTCAGCTCGCGTGAGGCGGGTGACACGGAACTCTGGGATGGGGGTGGAGATCCAATCAATGCTGTCGCCCCTGTATCCCCCATCCATTTAGGGATTGGATTGTGGCGAGCCAATATTGAAAAGTTTATTCCGTGAGTGCTTCAAGGAGGCTCGCTGATGAAGTCAAGGGAAGCGAGTCTCAAGTACTTCTCACACCACGGGGAAGTGGGGGATGAAGTTTCGCACTTTCTTGATTCTTAATTTCTTCACATTTCTTTGGTCGATTCCTTCAGCTTAAAACATGCACTATTTTAGTTTGTCACATTTGATTTATGATACTGCAATAATTTTGGTTTGAAATTTAAATAAACCAACTTTGGAAGATCTGGCAGATTTAGGAAAAGTTCAGAGCTGTGTGAACCATTTTGGTAAAATGAACACACTCAACTAAATTGAACACGCTGAACTAAACTGTTACATGAGACAGTGCTCTACCTCTGAATGGAAAGTGTTCCTTAAGTAACAATAGTCTTAGTTCTGTTCTACTGATACTTTCAGTCCACTTTTAAAGAAATATTAAATGGACTTGCTTAGTTGTTTCACATGTGCTTCTTTCATGTCCTCCTCTATATTTTTAGACTGTGTCATGTTACATTGAACGCACTAGTTGGGAATTTTAATTTAAGAAATTTGTTTTAATGTACAATTTACGAATGTTAGACAGTACAAGAGTGGGGACGGCGTGGCCTAGCGGTAGAGAGCTAGACTTCGAACCCGGCTTCAAATAAGTTCTTGAGATCACCCATCCCTTCATATGCCAAATGGGATTAAGAGAAATGAGAAAGAAATGTTCCATTCCTAACTAAAAGCTGAATGAGTAGTAGAACTTTGTTTATTTTGTTAATTATTTAAATGTTTATTTATCGTTTTTCATAACTGGGGTATCCTTGAAGGCTGGTCCCTAAATCATACACTTAAGACATCACAATCCAACATCACGCCTCGTATATACACCTTTTGACGTGACACTCTACCAAAATGAAAAGTGTATCTGCTTTTGACTTCACACTCCACCTAATGAAAAGTGTATCCACTTTTGACGTGACACTCCACCATAATGAAAAGTGTATCCACTTTTGACGTCATACTCCACCAAATGAAAAGTGTATCCACCTTTTGACGTCACACTCTTACCTAATGAAAAGTGTATCCACTTTTGACGTGACACTCCATCTAATTAAAAGTGTATCCACCTTTTGACGTCATACTCCACCAAATGAAAAGTGTATCCACCTTTTGACGTCACACTCTTACCTAATGAAAAGTGTATCCACTTTTGACGAGACACACCACCTAATGAAAAGTGTATCCACTTTTGACGTGACACTCCACCTAATGAAAAGTGTATCCACTTTTGACGTCACACGCCAGCTAATGAAAAGTGTATCCACTTTTGACGTGACACTCCACCTAATCCACGACTAACCGTATTTACCTCCCAGCCTAATTCCTCCTTCAGTCGGAAATGACGACGTTACCATGACGACGTATTTCGATGACATCATTACTGACCCCAGCTCGTTAGCAGCTTCAAATTGTTTTCGTGGTTAACTCTCCTCGCCGCGCCATTATCGCGTCTTATCTCATTTCGTCGTTAGCTGACGTCACCCAATCATTACCGTCTCATCTAATTTCTTGCTGACTCAGCTCCTCTAGATGGCTCAGTTTTGCATACTCTTAGACACTTTCTTTGATTGGAAATGTGAAATAAGAGTTCGATTTCCATCCTGGATACAACGTTTTCCATATTCGGACGAATACATACTTCATATATATATATATATGTATATATATATATATATATATATATATATATATATATATATATATATATATATATATATATATATATAATATGATTAAACATAATTTATTAATATACAGTGATAGAGAGAGTGGTGATGAGATATAACTTGAAGCTGTCATTTATATATGCATATATATATATATATATATATATATATATATATATATATATATATATATATATATATGTCTCTCTCCCTCTCTCTCCCTATGTCTCTCTCTCTTCCTCCCTCTCTCTGTCTCTGTCACTCTCTATCACCTTCTGTCTCTCTCTCTCCCTCTCTCTCCCTCTGTCTCTCTTTCCCTCCCTCTCTGTCACTCTTTTTCTCACTCTCTCTGCTTCTCTCTGTCTCTGTCTCTCTGTCTCTCTTTCACTCCCTCTCTCCCTCTGTCTCTCTCCCTACCTCTCCCTCTCCCTCTCCCCCTCTCTCCCCCCACTCTCTCTCTCTCTCGCTCTCTCTCTCTCTCTCGACAACTGTTGCTGTACTAAAACACAAAGAGATTATAGTGCCTCTTTATTACCAGATGATTCCTTTACCTGGTAACCGTTCATTTTTCAACAAATATTTCATTCGTCTTATTAAATGTGCTGAGTGTTTACATTATTGTACTTTAACGACTCTAACATCATATGACTATACACATATTTTTACCCAGTATATCTTTACTTTACGTTCTATCTAAGACAATAAAAATGTTGTTTTTTATCTAACTAAGACATTAAAAATATTTTGTCCCAAGTATATCTTTACGTTGTAACTAAGACAATAAAAATGTTGTTTTTGTCCCATGTATATCTTTACGTTCTAACTAAGACAATAATAAAAATAAGACAGTATATCTTTACTTTAAGTTCTAAGACAGTAAAAATGTTTTTTTTCTCTCCAGTACATCTTTACTGTACGTTCTAACCAAGACGATTAATATGTTGTATTTTGTCCCCAGTATATCGGGACACTGGACGTACCCAGGCCCAGCAGTCGGGTGGAGATCGTGGCGGCCATGAGGAGGATTAGGGTGAGTACATGATGCACGTGCAGACACGTGACTTTAACACAGGTACGGTAACACAGTCAGGACAATACACAGGTGATAACACATTCAAGACAATGCAAGGGGTTATATATCATTCAGGACAATATACATGTGATATCACACTCAGGATAATATAGAGGTGATAATATACAGGTGATGATATACAGGTGATAGTATACAGGTGATAATATAAGGTGATAACACATTCAGGACAGTATACAGGTGATATCACAGTCACACAGGTGAGAATAAATTCACGACAAAACACATTTGATAACATTTTCCAGATTAATACACACATACACATAACCGTATGATAATATATTCTGTTTTGTGCATTTAACACACGTGAGAACACATTTAATTATTCGCGGAAATTAATTTGTTTTTTGTTCTGGCACTAATTTCCCCTTTCTGACCGAGTTTCACTAATTTTACACCACCTGCGCAACCCTCTCACAATTCTCTATTATTAAATTTCTCACAATTTGCTAAAGAAAAATATCCCAAATTAAAAACATTTTCTTCAAACGCATTTTTAAATCTTCTTTATTAAATTTCCTTTTTATTATAATTTCGGTGACGCTTTGTGTGAACACAGTTTTACAATTACATTAAATTTTTACTTTTCTTAATTAGATTTTCAAATTATTTTTTTCCTCCATTGTTGCGTAATATTTTAAACATAGAGAACCGGAAGTTGCAGGACAAGGCAATTGAACACATCTTTTTTCCTCGCTAATCTCGACTTAATCCCATTAATCTGGACAAGTTCTACACATAATCCGACCCGATGATCCGTTGTTCAGTGTCTCATGACATTAAAACAATGTCTGTGTTTGGTATTTCCGATCTTCTTGCCTGAAAATTACAGTTCTAGTCCGGAGTTTCATCGATTTTTCTAGTTTCCGTTCGTGTTATTTTAAAATATGTATTTAAATATAGGACCTTTGCGTCGGACGGTAGTTCACGAGTACTGACCCAAATGTGTCGAGTTTGAATCCCGGAAACGATAAGAATAATGTTTGTAATGTGTTAATATTCTTTTTTTTTTAAATGTTGAAAATTGGAAAGCCAAAAAAACACCTCCACATCTAAAAGGAAGAATCGCGATTTAATATAAGGCATTTACAAAACTCAATGCAAATAAAGTTCCGCCAATAAGCCACTAATTAATTAAAGACAAGACAATAATTATAACTTAGCTACAGCTGGTGATTAATTTTATCTTTGTACTGATAAAACTTTGCCTTTTATCTTCTACCAATTTTTTTTTATATTGCAAAGCCATTCATTGACTAGCAATATAATTTCCCAGCTGTTTGGTTGATGTCGCTTACGTTTGTTCCTATACATTAAATAATTAAGGGGAAATAATTTTTTTACATGCAAGACAACTCTCTCAAGCTAATTTTAGAACTAGGTAGACCTTACCCACGTGGTTGCTGATTAGCAAAATTGTTGGGTGATTTACTTGCTATGTGATTTACTAAATGATGATTCGACAATGCAATTTTTGAAATCCGAATATAAAGAAATATAAAATTACCTTAAAATTATAGTCAACAAAAATGTGAAATAGATGGTAATCAGTTTCTTTTTTTATGTTTATAATCAGTGTTTCTTCCAGACCTTTTTCTCCGATGGGGGGGGGGGGCACTTGAAATTTTCGGGGGGGGGGGGGGGCGGTAGACTTTTCTTCGGGGGGCGGACACTGTTAAAAGTATATATTTTCTATATAAATTATATAAATTTCATTTCGTTCGGGGGGGGGGGGGGGGAGGGGGGGGACGACGACGGTAAAAAAAATTCGGGGGGGGGGGGGGGCTGAAACCCCCCGAAGAGATGCCTGGAAAAACTCTGTTTATGATTAAGAAGGGAAACAAAATACCAAGGCAAAAGTTGATCAAAAGATGAGTAAAAGTAGTTTCTCATAGGTATACGATGTTGATGGTGTTGGGCCAGCGGAACTTGAGTATCTGTCTGAGCAACTGTTTATAAAGGTCTGGACACTGTCAAAAAACTGACCTTAACTTTATTTTATTTTATCACAGGGTAATAAGGCGTAAAAGAGTAGGGATCTTAGTTTAAACATTTTTATTTAATCATAGGGTTATACGGTGCAAGAGAGTGTGAATCGTAATTTTAAAATACAAAATGAACATGCTCGAGAATTATTACATGTAAACTACAGGGCAGGCGGTAAGTCTGTAAGATTAACATGTCTGATTGGCCTACTCGTTATGTCAGATTGGCTTCATTGCTGTTGAAATGTCTTTAATTAAAACTAATAACCGCCTTTAGATTTTTCCGTGAAAACCTCCAGCTAACAGGAAAATTAAAAGTCGCGCCACAGATAAACACCGATGTTGCATTTTTTTCTCGAGCGATGTGAAGAGATTGAGGACGAGCAGCGCGGTGAAATTAATGCCACACAACATCGCGGACAAACAAGAAGCTGAAAAAAAACTGGTCAAGGCAACTTGGCTTCTAAATGGGTAGAGCAAATGTGAAGTGGAGGCTGCAGATTTCGCATCAGTTGCGGGTAATTTGTTTTTCGGGGCTTTTTTTTTCAATGTCAGAACGAGTAAATCAGAGACTGAGCTAACGTAAAACCACAAAAAAAAAAAAAAAAACTACACAGGCTGAGTTTAGTTTTTGTGGATTAACAATTTTCACACCCTGGGTCCGTCCTGTCGTCTGCTCCTCCTAACTCACCCTCCCGCCTCTCCCCGCCCCTTGCACGTGCCGCGGCTCTGTATGATAAAAAATGGCGCGAAAATTAGATCCCTTTTGGTCGTGTCTTTATTGGCTATTCATGGCTTTCCTAGTCGCTTCTGTTTCTATTTATAGATCCTGTGCTCGTACGTCATCAACTCCTCCGTATTTGTAATGTGCGTACTACGTACAACACAAACTCTCTAACCCGTTGTTTACCTCGCATCAGGGTATTTATAATTGCTATCTCAGTCAAGTGCTTTATAATTTCTCATTTTATGATATGTACACATATTGCTTTTGAAACTAAGAAATAAAACTATTTCATACTGTAAACCATTGTATGCCGCCCGGGGGTGGACTGGCTGTGTTCAAATGTCCCGGGAAATAAATTAAAGTGCTCCCTTCTCGACTTTTGTTGGAGCTTTTCTTTTTACTTCATCCAATCATAAGGACTGAAGCTTTACAAAATCACGGGCCACTTTACAAATAGCAATATACAATAATAACAATATAACAAGTAGGAAGGGTTAATTAAACAAAGATATGTTTAAAAAAAAAACAAAGCACTAATTAGCCGAGTACAACACAGATCTTCACACCTTATCGGAATTTTTCCTGGTTTCGCAACTGCCCAGTCCACCATAAGATTGAAGTAAATAATTTAATTTATATAGATCTACATCTTCAGCGGAAATCATTGAAAGTTAACACCGGCGTTACAAAGAAACGAATCAATAGCCAATGACTGGGGCATCTACTTTAATAACCTTTGCTAATTTTAAAACCGGTACAATTGTCTTTAAAAGTCCACGAAGAATACATTTTCTGAACAACTAAATTATTTCTCGACATCTTCTGAATTTTCAAATCAATATTTAGGTAGAAGTTAACTTTTGGCTTTATATTATGAGTATTATATTAAAATACATCTAACACTGGCCTGTTAGAGTGTATGGTTACATATTTGTTTTGTCCTTTCTTCGCTCAAGGCATACATTACTTTACTGTGAATAGCTGGAAGCGTGTTTATTTTACGCGCGTTTTAGGGTGTAGAATTCAGAATTCTGGGAAACAGGAGCTCGTGGGAATTCCCGAAGGTGGAGAAACGTATTAGTCCACGTTCACTAAATAATTCATGACTCCCCCCCCCTCTCACTCCCGTGTTCATAAGGCCTAGTTTATGCTAGGAATATGAATACGTTTTATGTTGTACATTTTACACATAAGTTCCTGTCACTTTTTGAAGGTTTAAGTGTAAGGTAATTGGATGAAAACAAAGGGCGAGAATTATTTATCAGTTGTAGGCATGGGTTAGCATGAATTGGTAATGAATGTTAGAAGCCTATTTTCTTATAAAATTACCTAAACTTTGACGAAAATTGTTTTGGAATTACGTTAAGAATTAATTTATGTATCAAGGCGTGCTGGCACTTTAACGGCAATAATCACTTAGTGAGGGATTTATTATGGCAAGTAACGGGTTTTGGGAAGTTGCTAGAATTAAGAGACAAATTACCATAGGGTTATGGTCCTTGACAGATATTTTGGAGGGTGTTGACAGGAATTACTGATTCAAACGTTGTGCTTCCTGTCTAGTATCCCCACAGTCATTCTTCTAGACGTCAGGCAGCTATGTCAGCCTTCCTGATGTCAGCCTCCCTAATGTCAGCCTATCTAATGTCAGCCTCTCAAATGTCAGCTCTCCAAATGGCAGCCTCTCAAAAGTCAGCCTCTCTATGTCAGCCTCTCTAATGTCAGCCTCTCTCATGTCAGCCTCTCAAATGTCAGCCTCTCTAATGTCTGCCTCTCTAATGTCAGCCTCTCAAATGTCAGCTCTCCAAAACGCAGCCTCTCAAAATTCAGCCTCTCTATGTCAGCCTTTCTAATGTCAGCCTCTCTAATGTCTGCCTCTCTAATGTCAGCCTCTCTCATGTCAGCCTCTCAAATGTCAGCTCTCAAAAACGCAGCCTCTCAAATGTCAGCCTCTCTCATGTCAGCCTCTCAAATGTCAGCCTCTCTATGTCAGCCTCTCTAATGTCAGCCTCTCTAATGTCTGCCTCTCTAATGTCAGCCTCTCTCATGTCAGCCTCTCTAATGTCAGCCTCTCTAATGTCAGCCTCTCTCATGTCAGCCTCTCAAATGTCAGCTCTCAAAAACGCAGCCTCTCAAATGTCAGCCTCTCTCATGTCAGCCTTTCTCATGTCAGCCTCTCTAATGTCAGCCTCTCTCATGTCAGCCTCTCAAATGTCAGCTTCTCTATG